AATTATTTTGGAGCGTGCTTTAATATATTGTTCCGGAAATTTTTTACTTTTTTCGGAATAAGTATTCGACCGTAAAAATTTTAAATTTCACTTAAAGTTAAATTTCGGAAAAACTCCAAAAATTATAAGAACTTCGGATGAACCAATTGATACTTACAGTAGAGGTGTGCCTTTTGTGAAGCTATAACTGATAAGTATCTAAAAATTTAGATCAAACTAATCATAAATTCATAAAAGAGAACAATGGAGTTTTTTAATCAAATCATAAATCTCAATCAAGAAAAAAAAAATTGGAATTTTTTTACTATATTCGGAATAAGTGTTGATTTTGTATTTTAATTAAAAAAAATCGAAATAAATAATTTTTCTGAATATTTTTTACTTTTTTCGAAATAAATGTTGATTTTGTATTTTAATAAAAAAATTCGGAAAAATAATTTTTCTGAAAAAATAGTTTTGTCATGCTAGATTGCTTAGGTGGATGGCCATGTAAGCAAATTTAACCTAGTTGGACTGTCATGTCAGCTTCAATGGCAAGACTAACGGTTTAGGGATATTTGTAGTTCAAAACATAAACGGCAGAGATATTTTTGGCACCAAAAACAAACGAAAAATATTTTTGAGCTATTTCGAATAGTTCAAGCACATTTTTGGCGCTTCAGCGAGCATTCATTACTGTGGAGTAGCATGAAAAAAAGAAACTAGAGAAAAAGAGACCCCTTTTTAATTTGAATGGCTATAAACCTGAAAATATTTTACTAATACTGTAATTGTTATTCTCTATAGAGGGTCTCTTTCAAATTTTGTCTTTGTAAGGCTTCATCTTTGAGTATAAATACCATACTGTATCTCCTGTTCCTATTTAATTTGCTTTCTTCTGTAATTCTTGAATTTGAGTGCTGATCTCTTAGCTTGAAGATATACACTCCCTTTCTTGTAAGTTTCTCTCTTCTTTTTTCCTCTCTTTCTTGTTTTCCTTTCATTTCTCTGTATATTCTTTTGAATTCCCTTTTTTATTTGATGTTTTTTTGGGTTAAAAAACCTGGTATATATGCTAAAGATCACTTTTTGGCATCTGGGGTTTTCTTCATTCTCTCTTATTTCCTTTTTTTCTCCTTACTTTGTTTTGGTATTGCTTTAAAAGCTTCTTTTTTTCATCTGGGGTTTGCCCAAAGTTTCAATCTTTTCTACATTTAGTTTTGTTTCTGTGTCCTTTTATGCAATGTTAATTCAGGGATTTTCTTTATTTTATTTTTTGGTCATTTTCTTGGATCGCTGTGTATGTGGTGTTTTTGTCCCCATTTGAGGTTTCTATATGCTAAGAGCTTATATTGTCGTTTGTTAAAGTTGTCTCATTCTATTAAGTTAAAGTCTTCCTCTTTTTCCTCCTTCATTTCGTAGTGCTTGTTTCCTTGTAGTTTATACAGATGAAACTAATCAGCTGTTATGATTCTTAAATAAATATTTGGTATTCTTGTATGACTCTTGCCTTTATTTGATAGTGCTGCTGTTTATATAATCTGTTGGCTTTTTGATAATTCTTTAGAAACAACTTGTTGTGTTCTAATTTCAGACCATTCAGTTGGAGAATAGATTGAGATTGTTGAAGGCATAAGTTTCCGTCTTATACATATCACCAGAGGATGGGGGATCACTTTGTTTTCCTGGTTGATCGATTGCTGACAGAATCAACTTTAGAGGCTGCAATTGAGAGCAGGAATCAGAATCAGTTAGCATTATGGACAATCAATGATGTGACAGCGAATTGCTCGTCCCAAGATTCTGCTGCTGTTTTGACTGCAGGGAAAATGGTAGAATGTAGGATATGCCAAGATGAGGATATGGATTCAAATATGGAGACTCCTTGTTCTTGCTGTGGTAGCTTGAAGGTTTGTGGACCTTTGTCTGTCATGTTATTGTTTTTTCAGTTAGAGTATATAAAGATGTTATTAATTGATGTTTTAGTCTTTTGATATGCTTTTGCTTCTGACAGATTAGTGTAAAATTTGGTATTTTTTTTTCTCAGAATCAAATATGAATTAGGCATGCAAATCATAGTTTATCTTTTCTTCCTACTAAAGAATATTTCTGTTTCGGATGGGCGCGATAGGTTTGCTTTCACAAGCATATTTAAATTCAGACGAACCATCAAGTATTTTGAGTACCAAGAGATTTTGCCATAGAGTGAATATGGCCATGTATGGAGGATATGCTACTTCATATTCGTTCTTGCTTCTCAAAGAATTTGTTTACAAATGTGATTGAGTGCGCTTATATAACTATATTACTGCTTCCAAACATTGTATTTGTTGATACGTCTAGACTTGAAAGTTGGCTCCTCTGGGTTCCTCTTCCGTTTCTTCCTTCTCTGTTTAGCCCTTGAACCAGCTTATTATTGCTAAAATCTAACTGTCCACCTTAAATATTGAAGATGCTGAGTCCTACCTTTGTCCTCATTGTTTTGCTTTGAAGGTCCAGAACCTGTATAGATTTTGGTGTAAGGTGGAACGATATTGAAAATGCTTTGAAATTGCTCTTCGTTTACCTTCTTCTGCTTTCTGCGCCGCAGTCCCCTGGGGGTGGAGTTTGCATTTTTTTTTTCCTGGCTCCTTGTAGTAGACGAGGTGGAGCAAGTAGAAACGAAGATATTTAAGAGACTTGAACCTTCTAATTGTCGGGATTGGTGTACGAGTAGAACAAGCATGCATTTGAGCTCTCAACTAGTTTTGCATGTCTAGATGTTTAATAGAAGTGACATGGTGCATTTTTGGCTTTGATTGGCCAAATGGGTCCACATGTGTGCTGATTCACGCATCTTCTTGTTCCCGCATAATTGTCCCATGTTTCTCTATGTTTCTCCGAGTTCGAAATAGCATCAACCTTATGTAATTTCCATTAAAGTTTATCAATATCTTGCCAGAAACCTTTTGTGAATGGTAAAGCTGACACAAGTGGACAAGTTAGATTTACTACTGGAATTACATGATTAGGTTCGCACAGTGATCTGTTACCGTGCTCTCGGCTGATTAGTTTCTCTTCATGAAATTTGATGTTTGATATTGAAACACAGTAAACTTTGGGAGAGGGGAAAGAAAAGGGAAGTTACAATGTCCTAAGCCTTATTCTGTTAAATATATTAGGATGTCTGATTCCTGTATGGTGCTAATATACTACTCAAAGTCATTTTAGATTTAAACTTGATAGTCTTACTCTGGCTGCTCCGTCCTTTCCTAAATGCATTATTATCTTCTCCTTCCATCAATGTTACTAACATTATTTTCTACTTAAACGTGTTCTTACAACTGTTTTTGGATTGTTTCTTTTCTTCCAGTATGCACATCGGAGGTGCGTGCAAAGGTGGTGTAATGAGAAGGGTGATACCATTTGTGAGATCTGCCACCAGGTCAGATATGTTTCTAATTTTCTTTGTCTATCTTAAAGGTTAAACATGATTTGCAGCAACACGACCACTTTTGCTGCATCAAATGATCATTAGTATTTCTTGTTTGATTATTTGGGTTCATTTAGAATGTGCTTGATTGATTCAGTTAGTGTTGATTGCTTATTTACTTATTTTTGCATTTGTGTCAAGTAGCCTTTTAGGCCGGGTTACACAGCACCACCCTCTATTTTTCGCCTTGGTGGCATCCCAATGAATTTAAGGTATCTTTTCTTCTGTCATGCTTTTCCGAAATATAGTAAATATACATATTGGAAATTTGAATATCCTAGCGTCGCATTTCCTGTTGCTTTTCTCATTAGCTCACTTGAGAATGTATATGGTGTTTCTGTTAGGGGGAATTGGCGAATTGTCAGAAGGAACTTGAATAATCAACGTGTGATAGCGGTGGTTTCAACTGATCACAATCTCATTAGTGCCGACTCTGAGGAAGATGCAGTTTCTACATCAAGAAGCATGATGTGTTGTCGTGTACTTGCCATAATAGTAATCTCTCTCTCCCTCTTTCTCTCTCTCTCTCTACACACACACACATGAATATGTGCATAACAGGGAATGTGAGCTATAATAATTATCCTGTGAGCAACAAATAGCCGAACAGGAATGTAATTAGATTGATATGCGACACAAAGTGATCACTCCGGAAAACATGAAAATGTACAACGTTCACTAGATTCTGTGCTCAGTTGGAGAACAAATCAAACAAGTAATAGCATAATTTCTGATATGTAAAATAACATCACTTACCCATTTTGGAATCTGGAAGTAGTTCTTTGTACTCTGGGGAACCAGGTTTAGCAATTTCCTATTTTATATGGCTCATTCTAACTTTTTCTTTTCCACTTTTTCTTGATAGTTTATGCTGCTGCTTGTCATACGTCATGCTCTTCCCGTTGTAGTCAATCAAGCAGGGGATTACTCACTTCCATTGGTTCTGGTAAGGTAGTTGAGTAGGGAAAATGGGAATGTAAGTATGCTATAATACAGAATATCTTCTCAGTTGTTATGCATTGCTTGCAGCTTCTACTGCTAAGAGTTTCAGGCATTGTTCTGCCCGTCTACATCATAATGAAAGCATTGACCTCTTGCCACCACCGGCAACACCAACAGGTTTGCGAAATCATATTTTTTATTTTTATGTTTCACCTTAACATACTTTGCTCCTCCTAAGTATTACATTATTTGTTTGACCTTCACTACAGGCTACTTTGCCCATCTCCTCACCCCGTGAAGAAGCTAACTTGGTGACTCTGCAGCAGGAGCCTCCTGTAATTGCTATCCAATGAATGGTTTTCACTGTTGAACCAAAAAGAAAGTTCATTCTTCGGACATACATCTCACAGCACATGTCGATCTTCATTTACTCTACTGTTATTACTCTCTCTTGCTGCAATGACTATTATGCTGCAGGAGTTGCTGCGTCAAATTTGTGAAGGATGATGAATAGACAAGATGTTATATATCGACGAAATTCAGTGAAGGGATATTCGAAATAGAAGCATAAAGGTAAAAAAAGGACTCAAAGAGATAAAAAAAAGAAGGCATGATATCCATTTTTACAACTAGAGATATCTGAAGGTCTGAATTAGTCAGAGAAAAATCTTTGTACAGTTATGTATATGAACAATTGAACACGTTGAAGTAATACAAAAACTGGCAAAAAGTTGTTACTTTTAGTACTGATATGAGGTCGGAGTTGTATTGTTGGATAAAGTTTGTCAGCCCAACTTGGAAGATGGTAAACATTTGTATGTTGTACTGGTGTTTACACGAAACCAATATATACATAACATACGTCTCCGCATACACTCTTATTGCTAAATCATATTGTAGTTAATTAATACACATTTTCATCTCAATGATAACTTAGCCATGGTAAAGTGGTATAATTTGGTGTAAATATCGGATGCACGCAAGTTTTTACCCATGGTAGATAACCTCAAATCCTTTGGAAAAGCCAAATATTAAAACCTTAAAGGTTGTGCTTGTTATAAAGATCAAATGCCCTTTACAGTGATGAAAAGTAAACCTCATTCCTTTAGTGAGGAGTATATGAAGTTGGGAATCGGTATTTGAAAGTTGAAGGAATGTTTCTCAGACCATCAAAACTGAAATTAAAGCGAAACTATTTCTCCTATCTCTTCTTGATTCCATATCTTTCTAAGAGTTTGAAACATGTAAATAGACATCATGAAAGTAGACAACTTCTTAAATTATATGTGAATTTGTTTATATCAAATCCAGTTAATGCTAGCGTACATCTACAAGAGTACAACCTTAATAATTTCGAATGACACGAAGTTGAGAAATCTTTGGAAATCGATTATGACAGTTAATAAGTTGTTTTTATGTCACCAATAAGCAGTGTTTTAAAAAGCGTTTTCGGGGCGAGCCCTGGGGCGATGCGCACCAAAAATGCTCCGAGGCGGTGGTGTGAGGCGAAAGTCTCAAGAGGCGTACGCCCAGCAATTCGGGGCGTATGCCCGAGCGTTTGAGGCACGTTTTTGTAGTGAGGTGTACGCCCCAGAGTCTTTTACAAATTAAAATAAAATTTGCTGAATAAGTTTTTCATATAATACCCAATTCTCAAAAATCAGCTTGTAATTACTCAAAAGTTTTAAAAAGGAACTGAAATATCAAAATTTAAAAGTCAAGACCTTTTTTATTGATAGGAGCCCTAATTTGTGGTCTTTCCCAATTCTCTATCTTGTCTCCTAGTCTGCTACTATCTCCCAAAAGCAACAAATAGTCTTTTTTTTCGCAAACACAAAGAGAACTTTATTCTCCTTCATAGCAGCAAGTTCAAAGTTCAAATTGCAGGTTAGTCATCCTTTTTGTTCCTCCATGTAGAAAACTTTATTCTTTTCCACTCAAGTTATTTGTTGTTTTGACTAGTTTTTTGTGGGGATGAAGCACATCTATATATTTTCCATATATTTATAGTTTTCTTCAATTTTAATGCAACTTTACCTATTTATAAATATTTACTGTAATTATATTATTTTATGAAATATTAAAAATTAAATACTCATGGGGCTTATGCCCTGTGCCTCGGGGCTTATGCCTCGCTGAGGCATATGTAAAATGACTCGCCATACGCTCGCGCCTTTTAAAACTCTGCAATAAGAATTCATGTTCAGTTAATTCATACATGCACAAATGGAAGGATGAAATGTAAGGTAGCCCACTATAGTTTAGACTTTGTAATCATTCCAAGGGAAAAACAAGAATATATATATATATATAGTTAGATATACATTTCAGAACCTACTATCTCAACTCAGAACCCGTAACATTTAAACTCTAGATCCACCGCTTTCTGAAAGAGACTAGCATATTTTATACTGTTACAAATATCTCTCCACTTGTAAAATCAAGAATCCAAGACCAAATGGAAAGAATAGCTGGGGCAGAAAACTACAGGCTCTCAAAACATCATCTTGCTCAGTTACAATTTAAACGTAAATCTGTACACTCCATTTGTGAAAATAGGAGAACTGGTACATGAAAAAGATGTATGAAAAATCTCTAGCAGTGGAGAGTCTCATTAGAATCCCTCTCAATTTGTTTCCTATTTTGAGCATCGTTTGACTTGCTTCTGAATTATACATACATCCATGTGTAGATCTATCTCGTTTAACATACTCAGTTCCAGCTTCTTCTTGGTCTGAAATGTTTCATGTAAGAGAAATAAATAAGACAGCAAGAATGTCAACCTCCAACAATCTCGATCTTCTTTTAAGTTCTTTCTGCGTTTCAATTTTTGTTTTTAAATTATATTGGTTTTTCTATACCTACTTGAGTGATGTCATTATTAATAGTCATATATTCTTCAAAGAGTGTAGATATTTATACTTCCGATTCTTTTGCTGAGAACGCCAAAAGCAAGCGAGCGCTCCAAATGCACAGCTAGCAACTGCGATTGCCAATGCAGCTCCAAGTGGAACCACCACTGCATTTGTTGAGGCCACCAACTCTTCATTAACCGTTTTCTCAGTCCCACCAACTGCTTGCAGTTCTTTCTCCTTGTAGAGATTCACTAGCTCTTTCCCATAGTAACTAACCAGAAACTTAAAGACCTCATCCTCATTCCATTCGATCTTACTATTTTCTTTGCTCTTTTCACCTGGGTTAAGATAGCACGACGGACAAAGCTGTTTTGAAGGCCAAATAACTTTTGGAAATTCAGGATCACCTGTTCCTAGTGATGCTTCATCTTTCATTAGTCTCTCATTAACTTTGTTGTGAGCTCTCCATAACCAAAGTGCATAATCACGCGCTTTCTTGAATGGATTAGATACACTGGAATTGCAAACGTTTAAAATACAACAGTTAAATGACCAGACTTTGATGGTCAATAACAAAAAGACAATGTTCAGAAAGTTTAAGTTGAGAAACAGAAAGAGCCTCGTTGACATTTTACCTTGAACACATGTCATAAAAGTGTTGCCTACATTCCTCACAGATGAAAAAGTTGTGTATAAAATCACATGTAGTTCTGAATGCCATGTTACTTTCTCCATCCTCAACTCTGATAGAGAGTGAGTGTAACAACACCCATAAACCGCAACTGCAAAAGGTAAACATGTGGCTAAGAAAACTGGCAAAGAAAATTAACATTGTAAGTTTGTAAAATCACGTGATTAACTTTTGACATCCACTACCTCTGCTACTGTATCGTTATAGCAAAGGCATTTAGCAGTGAACTGAAATAAATTTGAACCACTATCTTGAGTTGCTGATTTATGTGTGTGGCTGCAGGAGCATTAATCAATCCTTCACTGCCAGCATAGTTTTATAAGCCCCCCACCCCTCATTTCCTGGTTCTACAAACAAACTGCTATGTTGCTCAGACTCGGGTGCGGGTATCCAATCCGGGTGCGGGTCTAGAGGTCAGATTCCTCATCACATAAATTTTAGGATTTGGGAGTCCGAATGCGGATATGGGTGCTGGGATACGGCTAATAAATGTATATTACGACATACAAAGTATATATTTCAGTTAGTTAAAGTTATTGAACTAAAACTAATAATAAAACTTTAATTCTTTATAAACACCAATTTTTATTCATAAGATATCTCGCGTAATAGAAAAGCGAGTGTGTATATAGAGAGAGAGAGGGGGGGAGGAGGGGGAAAGAGTTGACCAAACCCGGTATGGATCCCACACCCATGACGTGCCGACATGGGTGCGGCCGGGATTTTGAAGAGTCCACGCAACATAGTCCAAACCCACCTAAGTTTGTTTACTTTCAAGCCCTCATAGTCTCCCCATCAAACAAAAACCTAGACCATAACTTTTGCTGGTGCAAACTTCACTCCCAAGACATTAATGCTATCAAAGAAGCAAAGTGTTTTGTAGAATACAGGCATTAAGTTCTGCGGTCCACCTATTGATTACACTGTTTTAAATTTATGAAATTTCTACACCACAAGATAAGCACATCCAATTCCTCAACTTCTCTGCAATTTACTCGAAGTTTTTTGAATCCCTGCATCTTTAACAGTACGTATTTAGATAATTGAAGCCTCCAAGATTTAAAACTCAACATGTATGTCATTCAGGCTTCCGATTTTTTTAGTAGAATGGCAAATTCATAATTCCGCATCCTTTGAAAGGAAAATATTTCTAACGTTGATCCATTTGGGAATATTCAACTATTCCCCATCATAAACCAAAATTCTGAATCAAAAAATAATTGAGACAAGAAAAGTGTAACAAATTAAAAATTTTAATATGAAGAGGCAATATGGGTTACAATATCTAGGATGTCTTCATGTCACTAGATCTACAAAGAACGTCCTCTGATTCTTCTCCTCACGAACGTCGATTCAAGGGCTCTTGGTTTGTTCTTTGGTGTATTAGGTCACATCCTTAAATGCAAACCAGCACCAGAAGTGAAAAATAAAAATAACCTAGACGTCGACCTCTCAAATACCCTATCCGATCCCACTTGGCCCTTTAGGCCATTACTCATACTGCCATTGACACAGTAACATCGAAAAAATACCTTAAAGACATCAATAGAATGCAAATCCTCAACTTAATATCTCTATAATGAATTATCTGACTACGAGTTTAGCTGCTTCACTACATTGTTTATCTATACAGATTTTCTACAATCATGAAATTGTAAATGATTTCACATATGAATAATGAGTACATGAATGATCCATTACCTGAAACCTCTGGTATCATTCTTGCTTCCACGACAATACATCTGCATGAAACAGATTATCATAAACGAATCAGAAATGCTTAAATTGCACAGCACAGCAAAGCAACATGCAGAATCTCCTACAAGCTAATATTATCGTATAAAGATGGGGTGTCTTCATGCACAAGACTATACACCTTACGAATTCCACCAGAATAGTGAAAGTTAGGGTCCATTTGGAGAGCTTTTGCTACTACTCCATTTCATGCAGCTTAGAAATATCACTCATGCGAGACCTTATGTAAGTCAAAATTAGGAGTAGGATGAGGAAGGGGACGAGCTATAGAACCACTAAGATACAACAAGCTAAATGAAACTCAAAGATATCTACACATAGACCATATCTCATCCAACTAAGCCATCCCCTTTCCCCATCTACCACCCAAACCCCCACACCCCAGAAGGAAAAAGAAATGAAATGAAAAAAGGGACTTAAAATTGAAACACATAAAAAGATTGGACAATCAAAAGGCTAGCATTCTTATATAGCCAATAGACAGTTACTGAAAAAGTTACAAAATAAGTTTATTAGTCCAGCCACAGATGGACGAACTAAATCAAACTCGATCTATACATATACAATAGATTTCTCATTCAACATATAGCACCAATCCCTCTCCTTCCAACCNGACAAGCAAAAAGGTTAGCTGTCATATATTGCCAAGAGAAGATTATGAAAATAATAAATACTACCATGAGTTAGTTTTCCAGCCACAAAAATATTTCCTAAACACTCGTGAGGATTTATTTTTGTTTTTCGTTGTAAGAACAACAAAATTCACACTTAGTCTCCTTGTCATTTCACCGTGATTTCTATTGACCAGTAACTCTTATGTCATTAAATTTTCGTGAAGTCTATCAATTTCTGCTAAGATTTATGTACAAATTTTCCCAGAGAACTTCAGCTAAGATTGATGAACAATTGATATGAGTACACTCCAAATGGAAGAACTTAAAAATATATAATTTGAGATGCATGCGTTCTTAGTTAAATGTTAGGATTTAAAAATAATAGTGTATCTACTTACAAAAATAAATAAATAATGCGCCCACTCAATTTATATGACACTCTTTCCACAATGGACGTCCCAAAATGTTTTCACTCCATTCATTAAAAAATTCAATATAACTTTAACAAGTTTCAAGAATTTAAATTCATTTAACAAATCAATTTAAAACTTTGAAGTCATGTTTCATTTTTGAAATAATTTTCTCAACCATTACTTTAATATTTTCTTCCACTACCACTAATATAATTACATAAGCCGAATTAACATTTCAAACAACGGCATATAAAACGAGACATAAAGCAGAACTATGGGAGTAATAACAATAATAAATGTAGGAAGTTTTCATCTCAAAAGCTTCAATTTTGTTTCATTATATCTAGAGTTCACAATGTTTATTATTATTTTAACATCTAAGTGAGTTATTTTAACAAAAAGCACCAAGATCGTGTAGATCATTGCTTGCAGTTTATTTACAAATGGAACCCTCTACTAATAAATAAACTAAAGCAGAGAAAACCTGAAGAAAATAGGTGGATCATATGCACTGCAGATGTAGAAAGCTAGTTTATGACTGAGGTGTGGTTGATTGATTGATTGTGCCTTGAGTATAAGTTTCTTGCTCTAGAATATAAAATCAACCCCTCCAAAGCCAGGGTAGGGCAATGACCAACTTCAACTAAATAAACAAGTGAATAACGAGCTCAGTATGCATCAGCTACAATAAAGGAACAAGCTTATGTACCCACCCAATATCCACGAGGAACCTCTTTCCCACAAATTTGGTAATTTCCCAGTTCGCCCTTTTTGCTACAACTGTCAGCCTCCTCATTATTCACCGACAATATCTCTGATGGACACAGATTATCAAAGTCTACCAATATATTTGCACTTCCCTTCCGGCACCTAGCAAAAATATCCAAATTTTACAAGTCAATGAAAAGCAGGATATGCTTTTACAATTCACAAAACACTGGAATGTAGGAGCTAACCTCTTAGAAGGATGATGAGCCACCAAGAGTTGAAGGAATCTTATAAGTGATGCCCGTGTCCCTGATCTAATCATCTGCATTAATTGAGGACCAAATATATCGAACTACGTCATGCAAACCAAAGTTATCCATGAGAGAGAGAGAGAGAGTTAGCTTTTTACTTTATGGTCTAGAATGATGCCAAAGGCAGTGGATGTTGCCTCCTCAACGTCATATATAGCTGTGGCGATCTTCATAAGAAAAGATTTACAGAAGTGAGAGACACACATAAAATGGACAGCTTAAATTTGCAAAAATAGAAATCAGAATTTAATATCATGCTCTCCTATTAACCTGGGCAGGATCTGAAAAGTTCTTCTGAAGATGCTCATTTTCATACTTCCCATCATCAAAGCCATATGAGCTGAAATTTCAAGGTTAATGCAATGAAGAAAATAGCTGATTAGGCATTAAACTTGTGAAAGACGGAGACGTAAACAAATTAAAAGTGAAAACAGATTTTTTATGTAACAGCATACAACTGATGGGTTTACGAAATAACCAGGAACTTTTTTTCTTTACCTTACTGGAAAAAAAATCTATCAAAAAGAAAATAAATTATTCACTGACTATTGCTTAAGTTCATCATTTTTATAGCCAGTATATAGTAGGCCAAATACATAGACAGCCCATTAAACTTGGCCCAATTTTTCATTTTGGCACTTTAACTCAGCCTTGTTCCATTTTCGCCCTCCAACCCCATTTCTTTTGTTCCACTTTGACACAAAAGCTGACTAGATTCCATGTGTGATTTGTCCCACCCTTGTAGGCGCGTGAGAGCCATTTTTTAAGCCAAATTTCATACTCCCAACGTAGAGGCGGATCCAGAATTTAAATCCTATGGATTCAATTTTAATGTTTTTAACATTGAACCCATTATATTTTTAAAGTTATGGGTTTATATCTATTTTTTTTACAATTTTAATAAATTTTTACATACAAATTTTACTCCGCGTCGAAAGTTATGGGTTCAGTTGAACCCGTAGTTATTATTGAAAATATATATATAAAAATATTTTTTCCACGGGAGGAGGGCAGAAAAAACGAAAAAAATAATAATTTGAAATTACAAAAAAAATTGCGGGGGGTGGGGGTGGGGGTAGCAGCTAGGTATTTGCCCTCGCTGCATTTTACCTGGGATAAAAGTTTTTGTGTCAAAGTGGAACAAAAGAACTCATTATATTTTTAAATGTTATGGGTTTATATCTATTTTTTTTATAATTTTTACATACAAATTTTCAGTTAAACCCATAATTATTACTGAAAATATATTAAAAATATATTTTTTTCCCCGGGATGTGGGCAGAAAAAACGAAAAAAAATAATAATTTGAAATTACAAAAAAAAAGTAAAAAAAANAACAAAAGAAATGGGGTTGGAAGGCCAGAATGGAACAAGGCTGAGTTAAAGTGCCAAAATAAAAAATTGGGCCAAGTTTAATGATCTGTATATGTATTTGGCCTATATAGTATTATGTAGCTGTTTATCATGGAAAAGAGTATGTTCTGCAGATTTTCATCCTTGAATAGGAAGAAGCTCTTGCAGATTTTCATTCTTGAATAGGAAGAATCTCTACTTCTGTTAGAGTGCAAGTCTAATTTTACCATTGCATAGTGATTACTACCAATGAGGGTGGGAGTAACGATGTATAAGTAAAAGCATGTACAACTTCCGAAGCTAGTTTATGAGGGAGCAACCCAATTCAGGCCAAAACTGAACGACTTTTATGCTACCTCAGCCTATGGGACTAATGTTTATACTCTACACCTAGCACAACATTAACCAGAAGCCCCCTGGAACTGACTTTTATACTTTTCAAACTATTCATTACCTTTATACCCGTAAAACCCAAAAGTAACTTACCAGCCTTGCACTCTTCCATCAAATTCTATGATCATGTCTATTTCATGTATTCGAGGAACACTCCTTAGTAGACTAAATATTTCTATTATGTCAAAGGGCAATGACTATTAAAGATATTACAGTTTAATTTCCCGTAGAGCACAAAAGACCCAAAGGAAGGCAGCTCAGATGAATTATTGAGAAAGATAATGATTTATTCTCAAAATTGTTACTTTGTGACAGTAGCTACCACAAGACACAATCAGCTTTAGAGCTTTAAACACCATAAGACAGCTAATTTAGGACACGACTTCACCAGTGACTACAAAACTTATGAAGGAAATCATATATACCTTCCAAGTTGTTTGTTGATCCAGCCTAGCAAGATATCAGCTGTGCGTCCATTTTCAATGGAGCGTATTTCACTATTTTCTTGTTTTGGATCCCAACCAGTACCAACAAACTTCTTAGGAGGGCCCCATAGAAGCATCGGGTAGTGCTTCACAGAGAACTTATCACAAAGATTAGAATTTATCTGTGCTGCCAAAAAGATGAATGAGAGGAAAAAATCAGTAGGTATACGTTAAGAAAAAAGGCTCTTAACAGAGTGAAAAAAGAAAAGGCTAATAACAAGAGAAAGAAATAATAAAGAAAAAGTGTCTGCATTAATAGGAGGTAGCAAGTGGTAAACCCATTAAAAATTCACTACAGGTGAAAAAGTAAGGCAATGTAAAATGATTGAAAAGCAAGAATCCCAATCAAAGCAATATTGACTGAGTCCATGCTACCCAATTCAAATGGAAAGAGCATAAAAATGCTGATTAACTTATTAAAAACAAGGAGCGACTGATTAAACTTGTATCTTGTGGCAAAAGATATTACTCATTTGGAAAACTACACCACCACCGAAATAGCTTCAAATTGTCTTGTCATTTGTCTTTGCAAACTGACCCACATCTCTTCTTCCTGGAGGGTGGGGCCCGGTCCTCTCAGAGAAAGACGCAGACATAGAGATTGGGGCCCGGTCCTCTCAGAGAGAGATGCATACATAGAGGCTATGACCCTCAAAGTAACTTCCATATTATAATTTTTTTTTGAGAAGGTAACATATTTGTATATTAATATAAAGACTTCACTAAAATTGTGAAGTCACCCATAATTACAAAGGAAAGTGATCAAACAAAAATACAGACAACTTGTAATCCTTGGTCTTCTCACAAGGATTCTAAAACATCTTAAATGGATTCATGATCCTCCAAAAGCTTTCTTTTACACCAAAAATAAAAAAGAGCTAAACATTTCATCTTTATCTTCTGGATGTTACTGAACTTGTCTTCAAAGCATTTTTGATTCCTTTCTTCCCAAATTATCCACCATATGCAGGTTGGGACGGTTCTCCATCTCTTTTTATCTCTAGAAAGTGTGCCCTCTTTACTCCAGCATGCTAGAATATCAAGGATTCTTCCCGGCATTGCCCATGAAATTCCCCTTAAGCTGATGAAGATTCTCCATATCTGTATAGTGAATTTGCAATGCAAAAAAAGATGGCTAATTGTCTTTGCCCTCTCTCCACATAAATAACTTTTAGAACACAATTGGAATCCTCTTTTGGTTAGGTTGTCTTGTGTTAACACTGCTTCTTTTGCCAATAGCCATGTAAAACAAGCAACCTTGTATGGAATTTTAACTTTCCATATCATCTTCCAAGGCCAGCAGCCTACCTGATTGTTGGACAAGTTGAATTCCCTGTAAGCTTCCCTAATTGAAAACTTTCCCTGCCTGTTCCTTTGCCATATAATAAGATCTTGATTAGAGTTGGTACCACTGAACTGCTCCAAAGTATTATGAAACTGGATAATTCTGTCAATTTCCCAATCATTTAGCATTCTTCTGAAAGTGAGATTCCAGCCCTGACCTAAACCTCTTCTATTGTTGCTTGCGGTTGCTAATTCAAAGCATGTATGTCAGGAAATAGCCCCTTCAAGGTTCCTTTGACCTAGCCAATTGTCTTCCTACAGAGAGATCTTCCTACCATTTCCTACTTTGAACTTTGCTTTGTTGATCACTTTTGGCCATAGATTCCTGATTGATCTCCACAAACTGACTCCATATGGACTTCTCACTGCCTTGGATGTCCAATTTCCTTCCTTTCCATATTTCTCCCTAATAACCCCTGTCCACAATGTTTGTTCATCTGCTGCAAATTTCCACAGCCACTTCATCATCAGGCTCTGGTTCTGTACTTTTAAATTTTTTATTCCCAGTCCCCCTGCCTTCTTGCTTGTAGTCAGGTTTCCCCATTTAACCAAGTGGATTTTCTTTTTCTCATTGTTACCTTCCCATAGAAAGTTTCTTCTTAGAATATCAATTCTTTTCAATACATTGACTAGAATTGGAAATAAAGACATCATATAAGTAGGTATGGCATCAAGCACAGAATTAATCAGAATCAATCTACCCCCATAGATAGATATTGATTCTTCGAATTTGCTAGCTTCTTTTCACATTTCTCCAGCACACTGTTCCAAATATCTTTTGATTTGCTCTTAGCTCCCAATGGCATCCACAGATATACAGTAGGTAATTCCCCTACCTTCCCACCAAGTATATTAACCAGACTTTGTAGATGCATAACCTCATTGAATGAGTAAATGAAACTTTTATGCCAGTTGATGTGCATCCCAGAAATAGCTTCAAAAAGAATCAAAATCACCCTCAGCACTTTCACTTGTTCTCTTTCAGCTTCACAAAAAACCAAGGTGTCATCAGCATACTGTAGGTGTGAAATCCTCATGTTGCTATCAGCCCTATTACTCACTTTAAAGCCCCTTATCCAGTTATTTGTCTAAGCTACTTTCACCATGTCATTTAGCCCTTCCATAGCAATTATGAATAAAAAAGGGGAGAGGGGATCATCTTGTCTCAGCCCCCTCTATGAAGTGAAAAATCCAACTGGCTCTCCATTGATAAGCACTGAGAAACTTACAGTGGAAATGCAATATCTAATCCAGCTAATCCATCTTCCCCCAAAGCCCATCCTCCTCAGAGTATCCAAAAGGTATTTCCAATTCAAATGGTCATATGCTTTCTCAATATCCAGCTTACATAGAATCTCAGGCTCTTTGCTTATCTTCCTTGTGTCTATACATTCATTGGCTATTATCACAGCATCCATGATCTGTCTGCCTCTAATGAAGGCCATTTGTTGATGATCCACCAATTTGTTAACCACCTTTTTGAGTCACTCAGTCAATAGCTTGGAAATAATCTTGTATATGCTGGCCTGAAATTTCTTAATTCTTTGGCCCCTACCTTCTTAGGAATCAAAGCCACAAATGTGGCATTCATGCTTTTTTCAAAGATTCCTTGATCATAAAAGTTCTGGACTGTTGCTACCACATCATTTTTAACCACATCCCAGCATTTATTGAAGAATGCCATTGAAAATCCATCAAGTCCTTGTGCTTTGTCACCTGCACATACCTTAACACTGTCCCATATTTTCTGTTCTCCAAATGGACTCTGCAGCATTAAGTTTTCTTCTATAGTGATCATTTGGTTGTTTCTGATGGAACCTGTTGGCCTTCAGTCTTCTTCTTCTGTGTACAGCTTCTTGTAGAATCTGATTATCTCTCTCTTGATGTCTTCAGGACACTGTAAGGTTTCCCCTTCCACTGTCAATTGATCAATGTTATTATATCTCTTGTGTGCATTGGCTGTTCTATGGAAATACTTGGTGTTCCTATCTCCCTCTTTCAACCAAAGAGCCCTTGATCTCTGTCTCCATGCTATTTCTTCTTGAATCTCCTCAAACTCCATGGACAAAGATGTTTTTGTGTAAATTTCCTCCTCAGTCAAGCTCATTTGTTCATGTACTTCTTCCAGTTCTGCAAGTTGATTGAGAACACTTGCCTTCCTTAATGCTAAATTGCCTTGCATAGTTTTGCTCCATTCCTTGAGCTTTGCCTTTAGAGCTTTGAGTTTAAAGGCTAGTATATAGTCTGGCCTTCCTTCACAGATGAAAGATTTCCAGCAATCTTCAACTCTGTCTTTGAAGCCTTCAGTCTGCAACCACCAATTCTCAAACTTGAAATATGACTTTACCGGTTGTTGATTGAGAACACTTGCCTTCCTTAATGCTAAATTGCCTTGCATAGTTTTGCTCCATTCCTTGAGCTTTGCCTTTAGAGCTTTGAGTTTAAAGGCTAGTATATAGTCTGGCCTTCCTTCACAGATGAAAGATTTCCAGCAATCTTCAACTCTGTCTTTGAAGCCTTCAGTCTGCAACCACCAATTCTCAAACTTGAAATATGACTTTACCGGTTGTTGATTGAGAACACTTGCCTTCCTTAATGCTAAATTGCCTTGCATAGTTTTGCTCCATTCCTTGAGCTTTGCCTTTAGAGCTTTGAGTTTAAAGGCTAGTATATAGTCTGGCCTTCCTTCACAGATGAAAGATTTCCAGCAATCTTCAACTCTGTCTTTGAAGCCTTCAGTCTGCAACCACCAATTCTCAAACTTGAAATATGACTTTACCGGTTCCCAGCTACCACATTGAAGCATTAATGGTGAGTGATCTGATGTAACTCTCAGCATCAATTGTTGTTTTATGTTCCTAAAGTTTTCATTCCATTCAACTGAGATCAGAAATCTATCCAATCTAGCTGCTATTACATGTTTGTCCCCTTTCCTCCAGGTGTAATCACCTCCTGCTAATTGTAAGTCTACCAATTCCATATCTTCAATAAAGCTTGAGAATTCCATCATTGCTCTTGTGATTCTGGAACAGTTCTTCTTCTCTGATGGGTACCTCACAGCATTGAAGTCCTCACATACCACCCATGGTCCATTGAATAGCCCTCTTGCCCCTGCCAATTCCCACCAAACTTCCTCCCTCTTTCTCCTGTCATTAGGAGCATACATAGCTGAAAGATGCCATGTATATTCCTGAATCTTACTTGAGAATTTACAAGTAATTGTGTGAGCTCCAGTACAACAAACTTCCCCCTTCCATATTCTTCCATCCCACATTACTACAATACCCCCTGGTCCCACTAGCCTCCGGTTGTTCAAAATTTACCCATCTACTGTCCCATATCTCTCTGACTAGTTCCCTAATATCCCCTTCTATTTTGGATTCTTGTAAACAAACAATCCCTGCCTTCCAACTTATCAACTGACTTTTAATTGCCCTTATTTTCCTAACTCTATTCAGTCCCCTCACATTCCATGATAATATATTCACTATCATTGATTATGACTAATAAAACTACCCCCTGCTTCTAGTTCCATTACTCTTGAAATTACTTCCAATATCCAATCCCTTCAGCTCTTTGAATCCTTTTTTCTTAGGTGTTTGGCATACCATAGACACTTCTCCCCCTTTGTTTGTTTGTCTTCTACTATCAATTTTCATAAACAATTCTAAGGCTTCTCTCTCGCACCCACTAAATTCCACCCCAAATTCTTTGCTCAACTTGATGATGTTCTGATGCACCCATATTGATGTTTCTAATTCCAGGTCTTCTTCTGACTCTAAGTTGTGATGGTTTAAAGGCTCGACTTCTTCAATTGCCCAATCCACATACCCATCTGTTTCTGCTGTCTGTATGTGCATGTTATTGAATTCCTGTTGATCATCTTCTTTCCTTTCATTCTCAGCAATAATTATCAAGGCATTATCCTCAATCAAATCTTCTTGTTGTTTTCCTTCTTCTTCGTCTTCTTCCTTCTTTTCTTTTTCTTCCTCTGAACTGTCATTGTAAATGTTTTCCTTGAGTTCCTCCGTCACAGTTGTTATTTGTTTTCCCACTGAATAGTCAAACTGCAGGGCCTTTATCTCCTCATTAAAAGGGTCTGTTCTGTGATTTGACATGGGCTTTTTAAAGGCCCTTTCTTCAGAGATTATTTGGGCCAATGAATCTGAGCCCACTTTCTTTGTGTTATAAAACTGGTTGGTCTTATTAGTAAAGATTGAGATGTCACGTGCCCGGTCACATGCCTTTATACGGTTAGGCTGATTTGAACTTCCCACGTGTCCCATCGCTGCTTTATAGTATCGAGCCCCTCCCCCTGCAATTATATTATAATTTTCAAACATTCCAAATGGCGAATGAGAGGGCAGGAGAAAACATAATCCATGGATTGTAGTTAATTGAAAACAACTATAAATTTGGGAAAATGAACATCTAAGAAAGATGAACGCTTTTCATAAATCCCAGAAACCACCAGGAAAAAGGGAAAAACGTTCAAAATACAGTTACTGACTATTGACAAATGTGCACTCAAACGAGGCGATTATGTAACAATAGAGGATCAAAGTAATTTTGAGAAGCATAAATAAAGCATAGAGTAATACCGTCAATGCACAGTCTACCCTTGACATTAATATGATTCCTGGATGACTAGCATCTGCCCCATTGAAGAGTTTTGCAACCTTTTCATAATGTGGCTGCAAAAGTATTGCCTCATCCATTAGAAATATTACAATGGAAGTTCATACACTCTCTCTGTTCCACTTTATGTGGCATAATTTGGAGTGTGAGGGTCAAACCAACTAATATTTTGTGTGAATTGGGACATAGGATCTTCAATTTTTTTGAAATAAAATTTTACATATTTAGAAACTACGTAAAAATTACTATAGGTTACAATTCAAAATATTTAAAAAAATATTTGCAAACACGTAGTAAAAAAAAACTCATTTGATTCTCGAAATAGTAATTGTGTCATATAAAAGTGGAACAGAGGGAGTAATAAGTAGCAGATTCATACCTTATAATTTCTACAAGCAGGGCACCTACGATACCAATAAAAGAGCTTCAAGTGAGAATCACATGGATGCAAACTCGGTACAAAATAATATGTTTACAAATTTAAGATAGAACTTGAACAACATGGAGAAGTTGATCAAAGTATTGGTAAACACACACCAGTAAAACAAGTAGGCAACATATTACTTTTTCTCAAAGTTATGGTGGTGTTAAATTTGCTAATCTTTTCTTACTCCTCTAGAATGTTGATATGAATTCCACATCAAGTAGAGTATAACATATTACATAACCAAGCAAAAGAAGAACTAGAATACACAATGAACAATTATTAGAATTCCCGGATTGCGCAAACACGTTTCTTGGTGAATAAAAAGAACACAACTAACTATATATGAATCATAAAATCAACCAAATTGCAGAATTCTAATAACCACCAAACGCTTTTCTTACTCCTAACAAGTAAAACTTTTTAGTTATTATGAGGTCCTGTTAATTTAGACATGCTGAAACCACAGCACCAACAATTTTCCTTCCCCCAATTAACAAGGTTCCTTTGGAATCAGTAGAGGATGTAGCCTTAGTGCTACTGGTTCAACCAAACCTAGTATTTCTGCCACAGAACATACATATATATGTGAAATATAACAAAATTTCAACAAATATTAGATTCTGAACTCATAGTCTTAGAAGTATAGTGAGTTTAGTGTCAAGAAGTTTAAAGATTGAACCCGTCAAGTTAAATCGTGGATCCGCCTCTATGTGGATGAAATGGGAGTAGAGTTAAATGAGTTTGAATGAACTGGACTCCACTATGCAGAATGGATGTAGAGGTATCATACCCAAATTATTGATATAGCCGACCCCAACCAGTATGGGATTGAGGCAAAGTTATCATTCTTGTGATCAACGAGATTTATTTGAATGAAATTGTTGTACCATTAACTATTCTGTGAATGAAGTAGCCCCTATGGAGCTGACTGGATACAAAAATTCATATAGTCAACCACAACAACTAGCTCAGGGTTGATGTGTTCTTCAAGGTGTAGCTCGGGGTTGAGGAACGAAAACCATGTGAGATAAGGGCTCAAGCCCCTTCTAGGGCAAAAGAAGCTAGCCGACTTCATTCCAATGAGTGTATAAGTTCTATGCACTAACAATGTACAAAATATCTATACAATTAGGTTACTTAAAAGGTAATTGTAGGTAACTCTAATTAATAGCATTGATTGATAAACTAGATTAAATGGTAAGTAACCAAATATAACAGGTCAAAATTACAGCGATGGTGTAAAAAGATCCTTACACTGTCACTCAATGTATATAACTTAAATGTTCGATTCTGATGGACAGAGTTACCTGGTATCCCTACTAGTTGGCCATGACACCACGGTTATAATAAATAAAACTAGCTTGGGATCAAGGGCGTAGTTATTAACACAAGGTTAGATAAAGCGACAGCCAAAAAACTATCAATTCTCCAAAAAAATCAGTAAACTGACCAGTGAGCAAAGAATTCAAATATAGCATAAGGGGCAGGAGTGTCTTTGAGCACTGTATCGAAGTTGGTGGCGTTCAATTCAACACCAAAATCAGGTTTTTCACTATCTTGATTATTGCTAATTGCCCTAAGAATTGCACGCTGAGATCCAGCTGAAATAGAAACCGATTGTTCTAAGGTTGATATAAATAGAGCCAAAAAGAGCATAAATATTGAACAAGACATGACCAAAGATTTCAGTAAATGGAAAAATGGTGTATATGAAGAAACATAGATAGGGAAAGAGGGAAAGAGGAAAAGAGGGTCAAATATGAGTTTTGAAGTTTTATAAGGGAAGACTTCGATCTGATTTTGGTAATTGGCTAATAGAAAATGGTCCTTTTCGGATTTCGTTAGAACAGAGGGACAGATTACCTAACTCCACTGTCCTTATTTGATAATACCTTACAGATTAATAAATTTATTTTTTAGCATTAGTTAGTAATGAAATTGACTATATTAATCTTTACTATCTCACATAAATACTCCTAACACATATTCCAACACTATTTACTCCAAGTACAATATAGGAAAAAAAAAATTAATTAATTCTTGAAATTTGAAAAAATTACTTATTTTGGACCACAAGAAAAAGGTCAAAAAATCATTTATTTTGGACCGGAGGAAGTATGTGCATTAGGTTGGACAAATCTCAGGTTCAAGTTTAGGGAGGCTTTATTTGAATTAATTAGGTCCCAAGGTAGATATGATGAAAAACTAAAAGAATAAATTCATGAGATTTACCTAATAAAATTAATGAAGAAATTCAAAATTAGCTTGATTTATTGCTAATTGAAAATTAGCTATAATTTCAAAATTAATTAAAATTTCGTTATTCTTTCCTACGAAAAAATCTAAATTACAAGAAAATACATGTGATTTCACATCATAACAAAAAATGACCCATATTTTTAAGTTTTAACCGACCTAATCCATATTGTACATATTTTAAAAGAACTAGCAACAACATAGTTGACAACTCCTATTTCAAAATTTATTTTCTTACAACCACTGCTTTTAAAACCTATGGAGTTAAGTGTAGTTGGTCAAGTTTCTCATTTCATTTGATGTTACGGCAAGAAAAGCTTACTGCGAAAACTAAGAGTATTTTTGTTCTAGAGCGTGATGACTTTTGAGACTCTTCACGATTTAGTTTTTTTATTTTCTCTTTTTAATCTTTGAGTTAGATTTTAGATCTGGGTTTTTAGAGTCTGTTAGTTGTTTGGATTAGGTGTTGCTCCAATTGATTGAAAATATCAAGAGGTGTTCAAAACTTAAATGTGAAGTGATTTGCGGTAGATTTGAGTTAAATTTCAAAAGAGGCTCAAGGACGAAGACTGTCACGCCTCCTTTTTACCTACACCCGCAAGGGCTGTATAAGGGAGTTTTTCCAATCAAAGGACAATCGAAACGAGATTCGTTTATTTAAAGATTCAGAGTCGCCACTTGGGATAATTTATGGTGTCCCAAGTCACCGGTTCGAATCCCAAATCGAGGAAAAGATTGACTCTGTATTGTAGCCTGCGAACCAGAAATCCGGGTAAGGAATTCTGTTAACCCGGGAGAAGGTGTTAGGCACTCCCGAATTCTGTGGTTCTAGCACGGTCGCTTAACCATTTATACTTGGCTTAAATTATTTAATTATGTGTTTAGAAACTATATGCATTTTACCTTTACCGCTTTTAATTACGTGATTTACTCGTACTTAAAGAATTATTGAGTTACGCAAACGTATACTCGTGTGGTTTGGCGTGTCAAGAGTCATGTCACGCGTACGTGTACACAATTCACAACACTTAATTTATTTAAGAAAAAAAACTTAGTCAAAGTCGCGCGGACGCGGACCTTAATTTATTTTTTAAAATTCGTAATTATGTCACGCGAACATGTACGCAATCACGATGACTGATTTATTAAGATCATATCTAAAAGCATACTATCGATTTTGTTTTGATGTAAATATGTGAAAGCAAGATTTTCATGGATCAACAGTGAGCCTTCCTCATCTTCGCATTATGGATTAAAATTTCAAAAAAAAAAATTAAATACTTGCATTCTTAAGAACTATGTTAACAGAAAACAAAATATTACCACACAAAGCAACAAATTTTGCTAACATAGAAAACTGAGCAAAACATAAAAAAAAATGAAACTTTATAGTCTTTTGATATTAAAACAAAACTTCAAACAAGTTACCTAACGCACTTTATGGATTATATATCTTAAGCACATAATCTTTCTTCTCCCCTTTTTTTAAAAAAAATATTCCTACCACATTAACACTTAGAAATTTTCAACTTTCATGGATAAGCAGTTTAAAAATTGTATACTCAGAGAGAAAAAATTTTCTTTACGTGAAAGAAACTTACTATAATCTTATAAAAGAAAATTAGTTAGTTTATGGTCTATTCACAAGAATGATTAGAAAAAAATTTAACCAATTTATGACTTAGGGATACTATATAATTATTTCGCCCACGATTAACGATGTTCTATTATTATGAAAGTTTAGCCGAAGTTACGNTATGCATTTTACCTTTACCGCTTTTAATTACGTGATTTACTCGTACTTAAAGAATTATTGAGTTACGCAAACGTATACTCGTGTGGTTTGGCGTGTCAAGAGTCATGTCACGCGTACGTGTACACAATTCACAACACTTAATTTATTTAAGAAAAAAAACTTAGTCAAAGTCGCGCGGACGCG